ACTCGTACTCCGTGAGCCCCCCTTGCCCTGTGTTGTGGGGGTTCCTCTCCCCCCCGTCCCGCACAGCCTTCCCCCGCCCCCACACGTAGGTTCGACTACAAAACTGCCCTCCGGTGGCAGCTGCACCCCGGGTTCCTTCTCCCCCTTGTCCAGCCAAGCCTGGGGTACTTCTCAGCTTTTTGGCTTCCTCTTCTGTTTAGCTCCTCCCTCTGTCCCGGGGATCCCCCCTCCCCCCGTATCCCTGCTGCCTTTCCCGAATTATGTTGTCTCTCAAGCCGTGAACCCCTTTCGCATCGGACGCTCCTTACAGTGTCCCTCCTGTTCGTCCTCCTCGCCTGTGCTCCTGCCCCAAACCTTGCCCAGGGCCGCCGCCTGCCTCCCTTTTCCACAAAGTCTCTGTGCAGCCCCCGCCCGGGTCCCAGTCCCTGAGCTGAGGGCTGCGGCCCCCCTTCCCTTCCGCGCCTCTTCGGGTTCCATTACCGCCCCGCCCACCGGGGCCCCGCTCCTGGCGCCCGGGGGCTGCCCGTGTCCCTGGTCCGCCAGGGTCCCATCGTCCTTCCCGAACTGCCCTTAGTTAGACTTTAACCGTGACCCGCACCCTCCTCTGTGGTTCGCGATTCCGGTAACTTCCTTGCGCTCCCCTTACCCGCCCCCCCCCCGCAATCCTCCAGCCTTTGGGGGTCTCTTCCTGCCCCTCCTCCGGTTCAGAATTTCCAACGTGGACTCCTGCTCCCTGGAGCGGCGGGGTTTTGCGGACCGGGTGACACCTGGTTCTGTTTCCTGTGGTCTCTGTGTGCTCTCTGTCGTCCTCCGTTATCGCCACAGACCACTTATTCCAGGACCAGCCAGACCTTGAACTAAGAAGGAATGTGTTGCGGGGCGGGGGCGCCCCGGCTGTCCCCGGGCTTTTCCGGCCGGGAGGGTGTTGGTGGAGGATGGAGCAGTTTGGACAGGTCCCTGTCAGATTACACTTTGTTGACTCCTCAGGCCTCTGAATGACGTTGTGAGAAAAAAATTTAAAAAAAAAAATTATATAATTTTAGGCTTATCTTAAAGGGATCCAAGTGTAGACTGTGCTCCCACCCCTGCCCAGATCCCAAAGGCATCCTTGTACTGTCTGGTTGACTGGAGGCGTTCTGGTTGGTTCCGTAAGCGCTTAGGGCTGGGGGGTAACTGGGAAAAGGAGCCCAGGAACCATGGGAAGAGCTTGTGCCTTCAGCACCAGGACTTCTGGGTTCATGTGACCTCCTACTTGGCCTCTAGAGTGGCATTTTGGGGAAAGGGGCCCACTCTCCAGGCATCAGTGCAGTGATCGGCTAATGGCAGGATATGGGTTGGCGGGGGATAGACTCAGTTTATTTTTTTTTATAAAGCATTCTGGGTTTCTCCGACCAAAGTTATTAGTAGTGGTTTAGTTGTCTGGAGAATTTTCCTTTGGTCTAGTCTACATCCACTGGAGTAAATCTGTTTGGAGGACAAGCCCCGGGCCTGCTGCTTTCGTCTACC